GTAATACACAAACGCAAAAACCTATCTCGAGGCAAGACCAAAAAAGATAACAATAATGATAAGTATGAACACTGTGATGATACCAGCGCCATTACCAGGGCGTATCACCATAGGTACAGTGGATACACGCGGTATATCGGGAGAGACGGAAAAGAGAAAGGAATCAGAGGTCGTGAGACCCAGGGGGTATAGGGCATTACAGGCAAGCAGCAAGGACAACGGAGATGGCTCCGAGCACGAGCATAGAGGAGGTCGTTTCGCGGAAAGCGCCGTTGTTGGACGAACCAGGGCCGCTAGCAACACCGCCGACAGGTCCACCGATGGGTGTAGTGGTGGCCTGGGATGCGTACGCAGAGGTGCTGGCAGGGGAAGCAGGGACGACGAGGCTGTGTCACAGGGCAATAAAGTTAGATATCCTTTCCAGTTCGGTTCGCAAGCGAGATGACAACTTACGTTCCATCTCCAGCAACGGATGAGGAAGCAGAGGCAGAAGCGGTGGAAGCAGCAGAAGAGGAGGCAGAGGACGAAGTCAGGTCTTGCAACAATTGCTCGGGAATGCAGCTGGTGTCATCGCTAGGTTGGACGGTGATCTATGGTGGACAGCACATCAGTCATCCGGTCCTTCGCAACAAATGACAGCTACGCACCTCTGCGGACCAAGCCTCTTCTTCGGCACCATCGATGGTCGTGAGGACGAGCTTGGTTCCAGCGGGGACGGCGACCTTCCATGTAGCGGAGTTTCCATCGTGGTCACCAATGTCAGCGCTGAAGACAAACAATCAGTTTTCCGGTTCCGAACCGGTTCAAGCTCCTACAACTCACAGGATGTTGCCATTGCAGGCATCGGAAGCGGGAACAGCAATGAGGTTCCAGCTTCCTTTGGCACCATCTACGTTGATGGTAGCATCCTGGCACTACATTCCAAAAAACCATTGAGCGAAATAGAACAAGTTGGTTCGGATATTGCAAGTACCTGAGTCATCTGGGGGGTAGAGAGAGTGTACCCAGCGACATTGCTGACGGACGCAGCAGCAAAAAGAGCGACGGTAATGAATGTGGCGAACATGGTATTATCGCTGTGGGTTGAAGGGAGAGGAAGGGTTTGGTGACGGTTTTATAGACGTCCGGGTGGAGAGAAGGAAGGTGGGGGAAACAGAGAAAAATTGGTGTGATGCGCTTCATTGAAAAGGTGTGTTCAACGCATGCCCAAACATGTCATAACACTGATCCATCGTGCCCGGATTTAGACTTGGCGTTTCATCTCCCGAAAAAAAAAGAAAACGTTAAAAATAAATAATTAATGTACTGTTTTATCCATTGACTGTCTCCTCATCTTCCTTACTCCCGGCGAGCCGAAACTCGTTCGGAATCACTCTACAAGTTACGATATCTAAATCAAAGCTTCGCTCCCTTAAACGTCGCAAGACTCGTCCTCTTCGAAATCCTGTGTGCAGGAAGTAAGATATCAGCAAACAAAAAACGCCACGCTAACTAATAAGTAGTCGCCATGGCCACAAGATGACAAGGCAATCAAAGAAGAAAAGAATGACAACGAGTTCCAAGAACTCACCCTGAGTGAGCAACCGGCGATGGAGTCTTCTTCAAGCCCTCAACAGGCACCCGATCCTGGACAGGCACATAGTCGCGTTTGCCCGCTCCGACATAAATCTACGTTGACGAAAAGGAGGTCCAAGAGAGGCCCGTCGTCAGAGGATTATCGCGGGACGAGAACATACGGGTACATCCCGTCACTCACCTGTCTTGGTCTCCAAATCTTGACACCTCCGGGTTGAAGCATCATCTAAACAAGTGGACCGGTCAATCAAGACCGCTCAGACCGCCCATGACCGGGACTCTAGTCTCTAGAGACCGCAAAGCATGATCGAGCCCACGTACCTGACGCCAATGCGCCAACCAACCAACCACTCGAGGAACCGCAAACAACACTGGGAAAAAGTCCAGGGGGAACCCTGTTTGAAAGATAATCAGTGAAAAAGCCTCCGTCGGGTGCGGGGACTTACCCATAGCGCGGTAGATGAGCCCACTACGCGTGTTTACGGAGACGTGGTTAGATGTAATTCCGTATAAATAGAAAAAGAGGGCACTCTTCACCTCCTGCAAAACACGTTGAGAACGCAAGTTCGGAATTATTCATAGCAGAAACATACCAAAAGTCAACATTGGGGGCCAATCGCCGCTTAATAAAGTACTCGTCCTTCATGGCAGCCTCGTGAAGGGCCATCGCGGTCTCAAGCAATTCATCTTTGCCGGTTCTGTCTCGTAAAGCGTCAAGGGTAGGGAGGTGGGCGGAGGTAAGAAGACAGCGACATCAACATCAACATCACAGAAGGCTAAGCTCACACTTTGAACACTTCATCGGCCGTCTTCCGGACAATGAACGACCTGGGATCAGAGGTTTTATAGACCCTGCGCGTACATACGATGAAGGGGTGAGAAGTTGCTCGCAGCCGAGCTTGGGCACGAGCCTGCGTACCTGTGGCCAAATCCAGACAGAACTTTTTCCCTCTTCTTGACAGCTTCAAGGAATGCGGGGACATTCTCCGGACTGAAATTGACGGTGACGATATCAGGGGCGAATTTCTTGACATTTCCTAGTCAGAGCGCTCCTTACCGTCCGATGGAGATCAACATCCGAATAACCGCTTCATTCGCGCCGCCTGCGAACAAGAAGAAAAAGCTGAAGATGAATAGCGCAAACACAAGGACGACTGAACATACCGTGTAAAGGACCACTGTGAATAGGAGCGGTGATGAGTTCCTGACATGCGTTCTATTCAAGGAAACATACTAGAGTGATGCGCAACCAGCCCTTCATTAATGTTCTAGTCAGCACCGATGAGCATTCCAGTCTCGTTTCCCAGTACTCACGCGATGGCAGAATACGGATCCACAAGCGAACTTCCCGTCTGTAGCACCGTTGTGGCGGAGGCATTCAATTCATGATCGGCATGCAAGAGGAAAAGAACGTCGAGAGCCTTCTCCAGGATGGGATTAGGCTTGAAGTCGTCCTGGCCGAGATGATCCATTTGATACAGGAAGCTGATACGAGGTTCATCAATGATGCGGGCCAGAAATTGACAGGCAACAGACTTACGAGCCTGTATAGCTCAGGCCATGCGGCGGAGTGACAAACTGCCTTCCTTGACGCACTCGGTATGCCATTCTAGCAATGTACCCCCGGAATGAGATCTAAAATTGTCTGACACAGACAAATCACTCACGCAGCAAGACTCGTCGCCTTCCCAATCAGCCTATAAATCTGTTTATCCATTGTCGCGAGGGAGTCCGGAGATCCAGTTGTGAAAAGGTTTTGCCCTTGTAACGACGGGTTCGCTTCACTGTAATAGGATCCGAGGTATGCGAACGCGCTCGTAAGGATAGACATGGGATGGGCGTCATATCTGAGAGAGGTATCGTGCATTCAGTACCACTTGGGGTGACGCGTCGAAGAACGTAGGCCACGAACCGGAATGAACGGAAGAACTGTTCTGCGTCAGAATGGACGAACGAATGGTGCATGACCTCCTCCTGGAACACTTTGTATTGAACAGCGGTCGGTAGCGAGCCATATATAAGAAGGTATGCTGGAGCCAGACATGGTTTGATGAGAGATTCGTTCGTTCGCTACGAGAACCTTGGACAACCCACCAGTCTCAAGGTGATTGGAGTGAACTGCAAGTTGCTCGATTGGGTACCCTCTGTAAGAATGTCGTTTGTTTGGGCCGTGAGGTGAGATGCGTGTCATCTGTCATACCTGTACCGCAGAACTGTCCAGAATGTAAGAGTTCGCGCCTCTTCTAGCATTTTGAACCGAACGCACCTCCAGCTTCACCATCGATGTAAGTGATCTCACTTCTCAAAACAGCTGTATTCAAAAAGCCCTTGTCCGAGACTCTCAAACCCTTCTCAGTTTCATTTTCCTCCCGCTCGCCTTTTGCTCGAGGTGCTGCAATGGATTTGAATGATGTCGCTGGCACTGTGTTATCTTCGATTCTAGATTTCCCGACCACCAAAAGCTCAGTCCACAATCACGCACGAATCTCTGGAAGCTACGTACGGAACCTCGTAGGTCTTCCCAGTGCGATTATCTCGAACCGTCAGCGTGTTGTTGTTTTGCGAGGCCACTGGATTGCCCATCGTGCTCGTAATTCCTTGGAAAGTTACGGGAGGTTTCGGAGAACCGAATAGAGGATATGAGGGTGTAAGGCGCCTTTAAATTGTGGACAACGGATCCTCTTTATACCAGAGCTGTACCAGAGTATGACGATTTGGGACAGGTCGCGGCGCGCACAGTTACAAGGGCAAATCTCCGGCCCTCGGTTAACCCCGGAAATTAAACTGTGCATCGCGATTTCACATGCAGAGGGTAGCCTGACCAGACCATGGGCGACCTCCATCTGTGCGTCTGCAAACGTATGGTTCAGAGAATGCTAAATCTCGTGTAAACAATCCAAGGTACCGTACTACAAGCTCATAAATCCTTGAGATCTTATGCTAATCCTATTAATACCATCTAGTACGGCCGGACCTTACGAAGTAGATGTAACTGATATTCAACGAGACGAGACAGAAAACTGTGGGGTTTGCGAGCTTCTACGTGTGGAAGAGAGCATACGGTTGATTTGATTCACTCGAAAGCGTGGGGAAGAAGAAGACGCGCATTTTGTATCAATGTTTGTGAGCACATGTCAAATTTCAAGTTGAGCTTTGAGAAGAGGCTTCGCAACTTTGCGGCATGGGGCGACGGAAGGGATGGCGCAAAGAGAGTTTTGAGCCCGTTATAATCGTAGCTGGACCCCGGTAGCCCTAGAATGTCTCAACTCCGTACATTGTAGTAACGTCATGGTAGAACCTGGGTGACCGCCAAGCGACGTCGTGAACGTTGAAACCAATGTCGAGTAAGTAACCGTGATGGATTCGTCCTATGTAGTCACTTGTATTGGACAAATGATCGAAGAGGCTTTTGGCACAGGCTAAAAGGGACGGACCGGGGGTTGAACCCGGGACATAGTCTGACCCGGAGACACGCTCTAACCACTGAGCATCTGTCCTTAAGGGTCCAGCAGTGTGAGGGAGACTAAGTAGCAGGGTTTATACTTAGATCTTAGGGAGAATTCCCAACAACTTGGAATATCAATCCTCGCGTGATTCGATTGAGCTCACTGCCTTTCTAGCTCCGAGAAGGTAATGTTTGGCGAAGAATGTCGAGGTAGGTCCACCGTCCACGGCTGGCGGCGCTTAATTGGATAATTTTGCCTGCCGGATGGGCGCTTCAGAAATCGATCGAGTTATCGGCCCGGCAGGCGCGGGGAAAGTTTTTTCTTTTCTCTTCTTCAGCTTGTTCGTCGACCACGACGACGGTCATTGCCTGCCCGCCAGTGTCCTAGTACACGTATTATCTTCAACAGCCAAATCTATCCAGTATACATTGGCGTGCGTCATTGAAATAACTTACCTTCCGGAGAAACCCCAGTGACATTCTACTCCTAGCCGGCAGTTCGCGAGCCTTACACTCCTCGACTTGGAAACGATGTCGACGACAATGCTTACCCTTGCCGGCCCATCATATCTATACTCCGCAAAGCGCCAGGCTCTCCTCGCTCAGCTCCAGGCAGTCAGCCAGTCTATCACGAATGTCAACGCGATTTATGTGCATCTAGTGAAGTTGAACGGATCTGTAGGATTGGATGACAGTCAGAGAGATACATTGGATAGGTTGTTCTCTTACGGGGAGAAAGACGAGTCAGGGTTGGCGACAAAACTCGACGGTATGTCGTCTGGTCGGGTCCAGCGTGAACATCTTCTCATCAAATTCGCTCAGGTTTGAAAAATGCTCCCGGTGGCAGCGAATTGACTCTCTTCGTTCTTCCTCGAGCCGGATCGATCTCTCCATGGTCCTCCAAGGCGACTGATATCTCAAGAATATGCAATCTAAGTCAAGTCGTAGAACGGATCGAGCGCGGTATCCTATTCGTCCTCACTCTCGACACTCCGAGACCAGACATTTCATCTTTTGTGCATCTACTCCACGATAGGATGACCCAGTCGGTTCATATTAACGCACTCCCGCCCGCTGAGGACATCTTCAACACGTCATCAACCACGAAGAGGAAGCCCCTTACGACAATTGATCTCCTCTCGCATTCTAGTCACGAAGAAAGGGTATCTGTCCTCCAAAAAGCCAACGTGGACTTAGGGCTGGCGTTGAGTGGAAGTGACATCGAATATCTAGGTTCGTTTCCTCTTCAAGATATCTTCCTTCGATAGAGGGCTTACAATGCGTTAGTGAAGGGATACGCGGAGACTCTGAACAGAAACCCCACTGACGCGGAATTGTTCATGTTCGCGCAGGTCAACAGTGAACACTGTCGACACAAGATCTTCAACTCCGAATGGACAATTGATGGGGAAATTATGCTGGGGGAAGGAGTGAGCGTCTCAATCTTTTCACTTTCACCTTAGGCTAAACGAGAACGTTCAGAAACGTCAAGATGGTTCAGGAGGCTCACTCTTCGGCATGATACGCAATACCGAAAAAGCTCTGATTTTCCGCGGCAACAACAATACCATCTCTGCTTATAGCGACAACGCAGCGGTGTTCGAAGGACACAAAGCACACCGCTTCAACCCTTCACCTTCTTCAAACTTGACTGTCGGACCTTCGATCTACGCACCCTCGGAAGACCTAGCGTCCACCCCCGTCCTTATCAAGGTGGAGACACACAACCACCCCACAGCCGTCTCTCCTTACCCAGGTGCAGCCACCGGTGCTGGTGGTGAAATCCGGGACGAATCCGCTACCGGCAGAGGATCCAGGACTAAAGCCGGTCTGGTTGGATTTATCACCAGCCCTCTGTGCATTCCTGGATACACGCACGCTTGGGAGAAGGAGGGCGAGAAAAGTGGCGTTGGAAAGCCCTCTCATATCGCAAGTGCATTAGACATCATGATTGAGGGTCCTTTAGGCGCTGCGGACTTCAGCAATGAGTTCGGTAGACCAGGTCTGGGAGGCTTCTGGAGAACGTTTTTGCAGAGGGAGGATGCTACATGTGAAAAGATAACCTATAGAGGATACCATAAGCCCGTCATGCTCGCAGGAGGAATGGGTACTGTCCGACCCGAATTGGCGGTCAAACCTCCACCCTTTCCAAGAGGTATGTTACCCTGTTTTCTCCCTGCCAATCTGTCTACAAGAGCGCTCATGAATCGCAGGAGGGATTAAGGAGTCAGCGGCTGGGGGAAGTAAACCAGTTAGCCCCGGAACCCATCTCGTTGTCTTGGGAGGTCCCGGGATGTTGATCGGACTTGGCGGAGGAGCTGCAAGTTCACAGCAAGGGACACACAAGTCCTCTGGAAAAGAAGACAGTAAGAGACGTGAGGATCTCGACTTTGGCAGCGTTCAGCGTGGCAATGCGGAGATGGAGAGGAGAGCTCAAGGTGTCATAGAAGGGTGCATTGCCCTTGGTTCTGGTCAGTCATTTCGTTTCCTGTTCGACAATTCAACTACAATATATGTTCCTTTCCTAGCGAAGAACCCGGTTTTGTCGATCCACGATGTCGGAGCTGGTGGTCTCTCCAACGCATTACCAGAACTAGTCCACGATTCGGGCCTGGGAGCCTACATCAATTTGAATCGCATCGCAGTCGGTAAGTGTTCCGTCATTATTCTATCGGACTGTTCATCATCACTCACACTCCTTATAAGCCGATTCTTCAATGTCCCCTATGGAAATTTGGTGCAATGAATCTCAGGAGAGATATGTCCTTGCGGTCGACGCGAACAATGACAGCGCGCTACGTATATTTGAGGAAATCTGTCGAAGAGAGAGGTCGGCATTGCTTTTCTAATCAGTCCTTCAGACACTTTTACTGACTAACCCGAAGGTGTCCGTACTCCGTTGTCGGCCACGCCACACTTGAAGAAACGCTGGTCGTTCGCGATGAAGAACGAAAGGAAGACGTTGTCAGAGTTGACATGAGCGTTCTATTCGGAGGCGTAGAACGGATGAAAAGGAATGACAAGCATGTTTCCCCCGCAGGCGCACTCACCGCCTCCCCGTCCTCCACCACACCGCAGATAGACATCTCGGAAGCAGCTTCCTGCCTCCTGCAGTTCCCCGCAATCGCGTCCAAATCATTCTTGATCACGATCGGTGATCGTACGATTACCGGTCTAGTCACTAGAGACCAGATGGTCGGACCCTGGCAAGTCCCCGTAGCGGACGTGGCTGTCGTTCGAGCTGGGTACTCCTCCCCGCTCGGCACTACCGGGGTTGTGAGATGCTTTGCAGGAGAAGCATTCTCATCAGGCGAGCGGCCTCCCCTAGCCCTGCTAAACCCTGCTGCCTCTGCTAGGATAGCTCTCGCGGAATCGTTGACAAACCTCGCTGCTGCATACGTTGGATATGCCGGGGACTCAAAGGTTTGCTTCCGTTCCCATCTGGCTCTGCGCGCCACTGAACCTCCTTTAATTACGACAGACCGATAACCCACTCACCAAGGTCAAGCTGAGTTGTAACTGGATGGCGGCCGCATCCAAGCCGGGTGAAGGAGCTGCGCTGTACGATGCTGTCCAGGCTGTTGGGACAGATCTAGCTGTCAAGTTGGGTGTCGGTGTCCCGGTCGGCAAAGACAGCATGAGTATGAGGATGGCATGGAGGGAAAACATTGGCGGTGAGTGATCCCATACACCAACCTGCGACTCATCTGAGAATGAAACCTCACTATAGGCAAAGATACCGAGAAGGAAGTCTCAGCGCCTGTTACTCTCGTCGTCACTGCATTTGCTGCAGTCGAGGATGTAAGGGAAACCTGGACTCCACAGATTCAGCTCTTGGCTCCGGAAGAAGAAACTGTCTTGGTCTTCGTCGATCTTGCTTCGGGGAAACAGCGTATGGGTGGCTCATCCTTCGCCCAGGTGTTTTATCCTCAGATTCCCCTCGCATTCCGCAATGGAGAACCCACGCCTGATCTTACAGGGGCGGACGTGGAATCATTCTTGGCTTTCTTTAAAGCGACCCAAGCCATCAGGGTCAAGTGTCCTGAATTGGTGTTGGCCTACCATGATAGGAGCGACGGTGGCTTGTTCGCAGCTATCGTCGAGATGGCGTTTGCAGGGAGGTGCGGAGTAGAGATCTCCCTCGACCCAGTTGTTCGGAATGGAGAACACGGAGACGAAGCTGCAAGGGCCCTCTTCAATGAAGAACTTGGCGCTGTGTTTCAAATTCGCAAGAATGATCTCACGAAATTCACGGAAGTTTTCAGTGAAACAGGTTTCCCTGTTGACACATCCGTGCATGTTCTCGGGTCTCCTGTTCCGTCCGACAAGGCACAAATCATATACAAGTTGAACGGAACCACCCTCTTCGCCAGCACTCGTGAGGCCCTCCAGCAGTCATGGAGCGAAACGTCATTCAGGATGCAAAGTATCAGAGATGACGCGGAATGCGCCCAAGAGGAATTTGCCCTGATCAAGGACGAGACAGGGTATCGAGGGATCTATTACGAACCTTCCTTCAGCCCGAGCACCCCAGTCACCTTACGACCAACCTCCGAGGAATCTCCAGTCCCAATACCGACACCCGAAAAGCTTCTCGTTCATCGTCCCAAGGTCGCGATACTCCGAGAACAAGGTGTAAATGGTCATGTCGAGATGGCCTGGGCTTTCCATGCAGCTGGATTTGAAGCCATTGATGTTCATATGTCTGATATCCTGGGATATTCCACTCCGTCGTTTTCCACGCCTTCCGATCAAGCGTTGTCCCTCGTATCTTCCTCCTCCCACAAGCACCTATCCCTGTCGGACTTCGTTGGGTTAGCCGCATGTGGTGGTTTCTCCTATGGAGATGTTCTAGGGGCCGGGAAAGGATGGGCAAATTCCGTGCTGATGAACCCCCGTGCAAGGGGAGAGTTCGAGGCCTTCTTCAGGAGGAAAGACACCTTCACCTTGGGAGTTTGCAACGGCTGTCAGTTCCTAAGCGCCTTGGTCCGAGGAGGCGTCGATCTGGGTGATGGGGATAGCGATTTAGCCAAGGGCACCTCGGAGGAGGAC